CATATGTTTTTAATAATTTTATGAATATTGATAAAACTTTTATTAATTTTCAATCAAATTTTCTATTTTTGTCGTTTTTTAATCAATGTATTTTTTAATTTCATCATCTTTTTATTATTTTTATTTTTCTAAATTCTATTTTTATATTATATTTAATTTTTTTAAAAAAAGAATAAATATCTAATTTAATTAAATTATGTAATAATACATTTAATTCTTAAAAATATTTTTTCTTTTCCTCAACTCTTTTAAATTATGTTTCGTTTATAATTTTGGATAAATTCTAAATTTCGTTTTTTAATTATTTAATTTCTATTTATAAATTATTAATTATTTATTCATAGTTTACAATTATTTCTTGATTAGACTAATTTTTTTAATTTATTTCTGTTTTTTTTTCCATTATTTTCAAAGTTTTATTATAATTGTTTGAAGATATTTCTAATTCTTATTTATGATTATTCCTTTCAATTTCTAATATTTATTATAAACTTTATATTTATTATTTGAACATTTCTTATTCTGAGAATTAAGTATTATCTTTTACTTAGATTCTTTAACCTTTGTATAAATAATATATATATATATATATATATATATATATATATATATATATATATATATATATATATAATTATGTATTTTTTTTTATATAATATATTACTTTATATATATTTTTATACATCATTTATATTTTATATTTTTTTTTTAAAACATATTACTTTTTATAAAATTTTAATAGAAAATTTCCCTACTTTATTCATTATTTTCAATTTAATTCTTTAAATCAGTTATACCTTTACATAAAATTTTAAAGCATTCAAAACTTTCTTCGAATTTTTTATATGGTAATTATTTATTTATATTTTCAATATTTTCTTTAACGTAATTAATTTCCTTATTATTAGTTTATTATAATTCTTAGTTTCTTTATTCTAATAATTATATTTGTTCGTTTAAAATATTCTTTTATTCTTCTTGTTATTCACAATTTTTTAATAAATCTTTTAGTTGATTTTTAATTTAATTTATTTCTAAAAATAATTATTTATTCTTTTTTTTTTTTTTTTTTTTTTTTTTGTGATTTTATTTACATCAATATTGTAATTTACTTATTAATTTTAAGTTTTATTTTAATAAAAAACATTTTTCTTTTAATTTTTATTATATTCTTTTATTTTTTATTCTATTTATTATTCTATTTTCTAAATTCTTTATAGATATTCGTTTTAAATATTTTCTTTTATTTCATCATTATACTTAAATTGAGTTTATAATTAATTTATTTATTGTTTTAATAATATTATTTATTAATTATTATTATTATTATCTTTATGATTGTCAAATTTTTATTCCATTTCACCTAAATAATAAATATATTATATAAATAAATAAAAATAAGTTACATAAAGTATCAGAATAAAGCTCTAAATTTGAAGTTAATAAACTGATTTGAGCATCTTTATCATTAATAATTTACTCGTATTTAATAAAATTAACTTATTTACATTAAGCCTTATAAAATTCAAATAAATCGTTTTTATTTAAATCTTCTTTTTAAAAAATTTAATCAATCTAGTTTTTTTTTTATATATATATATATATATATATATAAGATATAATATTNTTTAGTATATATTATATATATTATTATTATCTTTTATNTATGTTAGTAAATTTTAATTACTATTCTACAAACTAAACTAAANAATATTATATAAATAAAATAAAAATTAAAAGTAATAAATAAAAGTTAATACAAGAATAAAAGACTACTAATTTAGTAGTTAAATAAATATATNTGNATNTNTNTATATATATNTATATAATAATATTACTATAGTACTATAATACTAAATAAATTAACTTTTAATTTTAATTACTTTAACTTTTTAAAAATTTTAAAATTAACTAATACTTATTTTTATTTTATTATATNTAAAATATATATATATATATATATATATAAAAAAAGGATATAAAATATTTTTATTTACCTAAAGATATAAATATTTTATTTACTTTTTAAATAAATTCACTTAAAATATAAATAAGTTTTTCATAATTGACAATTTTTTATTTTTTTTCAATAATTTTTTATCAAAACTTAAGCTTTTGCCTTGTTCGATTTCTTATATTTTTTCAGTCAATTTTTAAAGCATAATTCTATTTTATTTCGTATTATCTTATTATTTTTTATCATTAAGTATATTCCTTAAATCTTTGTTTAATTTATCGAACTTTTCCAATTTATTTTTAATAATTTATTCTAAACTTTAATATTATTATTAATTTTCTTTATCTTCATAAGAAATTAATTAATTCCTTAAATTATAACTTTTTTATAAATCAAATACTAAATTATGTAAACTATCAATATCTTTTTATAAAGTATATTCTCTTTTTTATCCTAATTCTATTAAATTTTATTATGATTTGTTTAATCTTTCTATTTCCAAATTAAATGTTTATTCCCTTTATTTTTAGACTTTTTTTAAATCTTCTATGCTTTAAATTAATAGTTATTTTTCTTATTTTATTATTGAAATTTCATTTAATAACTTCTATATTTCTTAAGATTTTTCTTCTTTTATTTAAATAATTAAGCTATCATAAAATTATTATTTTTCTTAATATATTTCTTATGTATTTTATATTTATTAAATTAATTCTTGTTTTTCACGAGCCCATACTTAATTTACTAATTTTTTTTGTTAATTAAAAAAAAAAAAATATTTTTATATTAAAATTATAATATAAATAATACATTCTTAATTTAAATCATTTAGATTATTAGTATTATTATCTTCATCTTTTTATTTTTATATAATAGATTATTTTATTTAGTTAAATTTTAAAATATTGTCGTTTAAAACATTGTTTATTTTTATATTTATGTCTTTTTGTATTTAACTATTATTTGAGCATGTTTCTTCCAAAATAAGCTTTTCTTATAAATAAATATCATTAAATTAATAATAATTTTATTTTAAAATCTCTAATTCTCTTTTATAATGTATTATTTAGGCTTAATAATTTTCCTCGTTCTCTTAAATAAATTAGTTTAATTTTTAGATTTATTCTATGTATTATTCTTCAGAAGTATAATTTGTTATTGATTATTCATAAATTAAATTATTTTTTACTATTTCATCTTAACATTATTTAAATTTATTTTATAATTATTATATTTCTTAAAGACATTCTTATATATAATCTTCCTTTCTTTAAATTGTTTATTCATTCTATTATATTTAATTTTATAAAGTTTAATTTTATGAAGATAATTATCTGTTATTTTCATTTATTTTATTCATATTTTCTTTAAATATTTATATTTTCTCTTCATATTAGGAAATTGTTTCGTTTATTTATTACTATGTTTATAATTTTATATTTATTATTTCTTAATGGGAACTTTCAAATTCTTATTATCTACTTTTTAAATTTTATAATTGATTTTCTTACTCTTTAATTATTTCATGTAATTACATTTCTCTTATTATACTTTAATTCATTTTAATCATATTTAAATTTGGTTACATTTATTACTTTTTATAATAAATATTATTCGTTTAAAAATATTTAAACGTAGTAATTATAATTAAATTATATTAGTTATTATATTTAATTATTAAATATAATAAATAATAAACAAGTTTAAGAAATAAATATATATATATATATATATATATATATATATATATATATATATCTATTTAAATAATTTTTTATATAAATTAATTGAAAATTTTATTCTAAAATTGAAATTTTTTTTGTAATATTTTAATTGTATAAGATATAAACAATTTTTTTTTTATGTTATATATTTATAAAAATAAATTTATAGTTTTTTATAAAATATATTCTTGATTTTATCATTTTTATAATATTTTTAAATTAAAATATATATTTTAATTTATATTTTAATTAATAGTTTGGCTATAAGAATTTTATATTTTTAATATTATTTATATTATATTTATAATTTTTACTATATTTACTATTTATTACAATTTAATCTAAGAATTTGATAAATTTGTATCACTTGAACATTACTTTAAATATGGAATTTTTTTAATTAAATAAAAGAATTATTTAAAAACAATAATTTGCTTTAAATAAAATAAACAATATAATTAATTAAATATAAAATTAAAATTTAATTAAGTGACTATTTAATATATGTTAATTTATGTTTTATAATTAATTATCTATAAAAAGTTTAAATTTTAATTATAAATTTAATAAAAATAAATAATTATAGATTTATAATATTTTAATATTTTATAAAAATATTTAATTATTAATAATTTTATTTTAATATAAATTAATTATGAAAATTACTACTTTTAAATATATATTTATAGAGAATAATCGATATTTTATTATTTTAAACTTATTAATTATTTATATATATTTTATTATCGAAAAATATATATTTATTTTATTTTTAACTTAAATCTATATTACTTTTTATATATTAAAAAAAACACATTTAAAAATAAACTTAATTGTAAAATTTCAACAAAAATATATAATTTATATATGTTAATTTTTTTTTTATATATGTAAACAAATCTAGAGAGATCTATTTAGAAAACTATTTTTTCATTTAAACCAGTAAAAAACATTAAAAATATTTGTATTTTTAATAATAATAAATAAAACAAAAATAAAGAAAGCAAAAATACTTAAAAATACAATATTTTCAGCATTAAAAATACTTTTTGAAATTAGAGACTAAGAAGATTGATATTTTTAAATTTAAACTGAATTTTTCTCTATATTTTAGATTTTTTAATAATTTTTTAAATATTCATCTACAGCCCATGAATAAGTTTTAAATCCATATTCATTATTATCGAATATTTCTTTGGTTTTTTCGATTTTTAATTTATATAATCTTATTTAATTTTTTTAATCTTACATATTTATATTATAATTTTTTAATATTTCCATCAAAATTTCATTCTCTTGATATTTTTCGAAATCCAAATTCATAAAAAACTACATTTAATTATGTATTTCTTCAATTTTTTATAATTTTTATTCGTTTTTTTATTCTTATCAAAAAAAGAACCGCTATATAATAAATAATATTTGCTTTTAATAATTAAAATAAGATCTTCTTCAATAGTTTTTTCTGATTATTTTAAATCAAAAATAATATTATTTTAGACTATTTTTCCTTATTGAATCATTTCTTTTTCTATTTCTTAAAGTTCTTCAACTCTTTCGAATATTTCTTTGAAAAAATAAGTTTCTGTTTATATTTTTAATAATATTTTTTCTTATAATTAATTTTATATTTTCTCCCAAAAACTAACATAATTATCCAAACCTAATATTTTTCGTATAAAACTATTTTAATTAGAAAAAATCTCATCGTTTTCTCTTAAAAGGAAACTTTTTTCTAAAATTTATTTCGCTTCAAGAAGATCTTTATAAGTACTTTTTTTATTACTTAATTTACACTGGGCTATTCTTAAATATGCCAAACTAGAATTTTCATTTATTTTTAAAATTTCTGAAAAAGCTTAAATGGCTTCATGAAAAAAACCTTAAATTGCATAAGATAAACTATATATATATTTTTTTATATTTAAAATATTTAAATATACCCAATTAAATTGTATATGCTTTCTAATAATTTGATTCTAGTTTTTTATTATTCTAAATCTATTATTTCCTCACCATCTTTTATAATTATATTTTCGTCATTAAATTATGTAAGCTTTTTTATTAAATATAATAAATAAAATAAAATAAAATATATATATATATAAATATATATATTTTATATATATATATTTATATTATTGTTTTTTATTTTTATTATTTTACTAAAAGTTTATATTTTTAATTTATTTATTCATCTTCTAATTCATAATCTTCTTTTAAAATATATTCTTCTTCATCCTCATTATTATATTGTTTATCTTTTATTTCTAACCATTTATAAATACTTAAAGCATGTTCGTAATAATATAAAGCTTTTGAATATTCTTTAGAAATGAATTTTTCATTACCTTTTTCTTTTAGATTTTTATATATAAAAAATCTTTCATAAACATCATTTTATTGAATTTTTTTAAGATTAGAATAATCAAAAAATAAAGTGTGTTTTAAAAAAATAGGAATTTATTCAAATATAATACGATTTTAAGATATTTATATTTACTTTTCAAGTATTTTATCTAAATTAAAACTCATTTACATATTTTTTTCTTATAATAAATGATCATAATTACTTATATAATATATCTAGTATTTTTCTGGAATATCAATTAATCCAATTTAAGGCTTTTCGTTTTCAACAAAAGGACATTTTGATTAATTTATTTAACTTTTTGTTAATTTTTAAAAAGAATTTTTTACATTTAATATTTATTTTTGTTAATCAGAAAATTAACATTTTTATTAATTAGAAAAAGGACATTTTGACATTTTTAAATAAATATAATATATTTATAAAATTATCTTTTAATAAAATACAAAAATACATATATTTTTTTTTTAATTTAAAAAAGTCATAATGTAATAATATTTAAATATTTTAAAATAATATTATATATTATATTAATTTAATCTTAATTAGTGCAATAGATATCAGTTTAATTTTTATTAAAGTTTATATAAATTAGATTATTAGAATTATTTTAAAAATATAGTCTAAATCCACTTTTGGAACATTATTTAATTTTTAATTAAAATCCTTCAAAAATATTATAAATTTCATTAATAATCTATTAGCATGTTTTTAGATTAAAATCTAGATTTTTTTTTCGTCTTTAAATGAAAGTAGTATATTTTTTTAATTTTTATTATCTTTTAAAATTTCAAATGTATCATCTAAATTAAAAAAAATATTTCCCATTTTTGGTAAGAAATTAAATTTTTCAAAAATTTTTAAGTTTTCAAAATTTTCTTTTTTAATTTTAAAATTATTTTTCTCATCAGAAAAATTGTTTTTTTTTTCTATTTATATTTCTATATTTTTATCATTACTAAAATAATTAAATTCTTCTGAAAAAAATTTACCAAAATTTTATATTTCGAAAGGTATAAAAGTCTTCTTAGGTTTAATAATATCCAAATATTTTTTGAATTCTTTAAAATTCATCCGATTTTCTAAAGGACATCTAATAATAAAAGTTCTATATAATCCTAAAAAAGGTTCAGTAACTTCTTATAACTACATACAAGGATCAGTTAGTAAAATAGTACTTGTAAACTACTATATATTATCAGATGATTCTTATATTAAATTTGCTAATTGAATCGTATTCCCAAACCTTAAAGTAGAATCAATCACAAAATAAATAGAAGGAGTTTTGGCTCTAATAAAAGACTAAAAATTTAAATATTTCGGTGAATATAATTATTAGAATTCTAAAAAATTCCTTAAAAGTGAAATATTCCCGTTTTAGAGGAAAAAGTCATATGTCGAAAATGGGTTTGTGGGATTTTCAGTGACATATATTTTCTGTTTGAGTTTCTCGTTTATATATTCAATATGTGAATTTCCAAATTAAATATATGCGTTCGAATTTTCACAAATTATATAAATATGTTTTAAAAAAGAGGCTAATTTTGTATATAAAATGTCTAATAAATCTAATATTATTTCGCCATTTCTTATCGGGAGTATTATATTTTGTTCTTATTGGAGTTCTTTTTACATCTATTTTTTTATTTTATAAATTAAATAAATATATACTTATATTTCTTTTACTTTTTAAATGAAATTTATTAAATTTTATTCATGTTAATATTCTTAGGTTATTTCTTATATTTATTATTATTGTATTACATAAGGAAGTATAAAAAAATAATCAATTTTTTTGATTAATTTAGTTGTTTCGATAGTAAGGGTATGTCTAATATTATGCATAGAAGCATTATTACATATACAAATTTTATTTTCTTAAAATTCTAAAATCCACATACAACTACCAATATTAAACCCACTAGAAACAGGTTAAATTAAAATATCTTTTTTTTATTTTAAATTAAAATTATATAAAATATATATATATATATATATATATATTTATGTATTTTTTTATTATATGTATATTTATATATTTATAATTTACTTTAAAATTATTATATCTATCCAAAATTAAACGGATTTATTTTCTAAAAAGCATTCTAAATATCTTCAAGTGTAAAAATATCAACCCATGAACTAATATCAACGTTATATTTTTCTTCAAAAATATCAAAAAATTCACTTTCTTGAAAATAATTATTTTCGTTTTTACAATACTCGCTTCTGTTTCTAATATTTATTAACTAACAGTATTCTTTTAGAACGTATTCTCCTATTTATATTACTGGAACTGTTGCGTATATTTAAGCTTTACATTTCCCTGATTTCATTATATAAGGAATTATAAATAAATCATCTATACTTGTTATTAATATTATGTCTATGCTATTGTAGTCTATATAATTCAGATCTGTTAGGTCTATTTTTAAAGGACCTTTTATATAATAATTATTATTTATTTTTTTATAATAAGGAGATTCTTCATTGTTTTATTTTATTTTTTTTATTATTGTGTCTTCTTTATATTCTAGATTTTTATATGGTATTTATGGAAGATATTTTAATAATTATTAGCAAGGAAAACTTTATATTATCAAAAATTTTATCTTTTTATTATTTTATTATTATTATTTTTAATTTTAATATATATAAATTTACTTGATTAATTTAAAGAATATTTAATGAACATTCTTCATTTTTATTTCCATATATTGAATAAAAATTTATCATATTTTATTTTTTGTTTGAAAAAAAATTAAAAAATCTAATATATCAAGTATTTTTTTTTTTCTTTATTTAAAAAAATAAAATAATTATGTGATCTATATTTTAGGTAATAAAATAAAATAAAAAAACCTAAAAATATATATATTAAAAATAAAAAACAATATGATAAATTAATATACTGTAAATAAATCTCAAAGTATTAAACGATTTATTCCTTAATAAGCTAATGGAGTAATAAAATTAAAAAATAAAATATTTATTTTATAATATAATAACAATATTAAAGGAAGAAAGTTAAAAAATTGATTAAAGAAATTATTTAGATTAATCACCAGCAAATATAAAAAACACAAGTCTATCACATTAAAAAATATATTATAAACGTTCATTTGATTAAAATAATTGTAACTATTAAAATAGCAAGTATAAAAAAATTAAAATCATAATATAAAATTTAAATATAAAAAAATTAGTTAATCCTACTATTAAAAATACATATAAGACTCTACATAAGAAAATACAAATTAATAAAGTAATTCTTACTGTTAACATTACTCTAACTGGCGATTAAAACGTGAATAATTATTTGCAGTGTTAATTACTTATATATATATAGCCAAATAATTATATATATATATAAATATATATATATATATATATATATATATATATATATATATATATATTTATATTATTTATATAAATCAGTTAATCAAAAAAACCAAATTTAAGCACACTTTAAGGAAACTTATTAGATAAATAAAGTTTTTAATATCAAAAGAATTCATCTTTATAACCAAATTAAGAAATAAAATAAACAGATTTAATCCCAAGAACACATATGTATATATCAAAGCCTTTATTAAGGATAAACTAAGATTTTCATGAAAAACCTTTAATAAAAAATGTTATGTATTATAAATTTAATATTATTTATATTTTTAATAATTTAAAAAGAACTGTTTCTGATGATTTACCTGATTGGTGTCAAAGTTCAAAAGCTTATTATACAATAGAGCATTTTGATTCTAGTAAAAAAGTGAAATAAAAAGTACATTAAAATACAGATATTTTTGGAAATAGTTTGTAAAAATATTCTAATAACTTTTAATTCAAATGTATGAATCCTATATCTAGTTAAAGAGGAGTATTTTTTATTTATTTTACAATATTTTTTTTTTTATTGCTTTTGTTTTAAAGGAAATAAAAAAAATGATTATTGCTGATAAAAATTCATTACTAGAAATGAGAAATATGAGTAAAGAAGATATTAAAAGAGGTAAAATAAATTTAAGATGGGAAGAGAATATTCAAAAATAAAGGTTTGATAGAAATATACCTTTTTAAAAAATAGGAAATAGAGATAAACCATATATAAAATAATTAGAAATAAGAAAAAATAGTTCATAATTATTTTAGAAAATAGGAGAGTCAGAGCATTAAAGAATATTTAAAGATAATTAAATATAATTAAAAATAGGACATGGAGGACCATAAACATTAAATCCTTTAAAATATTGAAAATAAAAATAAATATAAATATATATATATATATATATATATATATATATATATATATATATATATATATATATATATGTATATATATTCTTTTTGGATAAATATTGATACGATTCTTTCAACCCTTATCTCTATATATGACTTATATATTGGTTATTTTTTTAATTTAAAATGTTTTTAAATTCAGATTAAATTTAATCATATTTTATACATAAATAATTAATTTTCTTTTGTTTTTTTTAAAGTATTTTTTTTATTAAACTGAACTAAAATAGAATATTATATTATTTTTTTTTTATAATTGCCTTTTTTTTTTTACTATTGTATTTACAATAAAATGTTAAATAAAAAACAAACATTCAAAATAAAAGAAATATATACATAAAAATATATTTTAATAATTATTATATTAATAATTTAATATTATTTTAATTAGTTTTTTTTTTTTTTAATTTTTAAAAAAAAGAATTATATTATAAAAAAAGAAAATGATATATGAAGGTCAAAAAGTTATATTTAATCATACAGTATTAAATAATATGTATATTAAAAAATTTAATTTATTTTAATAAAATTAAAGGAATAATATTAATTATTAAGGCAAATATAAAACTAAGACGAAAATTAAACTAAAAAGCATGAAGAAGGAGATCGTCCGTTTTCAATTCGTTTAGCAAAGTATTTCCTATCTTATAAAATAATAAATATAACATTTATTTTATTTTTAGGTATTTATTAATAACCGGTGCTGGGGATATCTTAGATGGGGTTAATGCTCTATTTTCTTTGATTTTTGTAATGCTTCATGCAGTAGATACTTATAGTTGGCCTACTACTAACGAAGATTTCTAAGAACCAAATCCTTATATAGTTATTATAGAAATTGTTCTTATTGTTTATTTTATACTTGCCTATTTAATTAATTTCTATATATCAGAAAACAGGGTTAAATTTTTTAAATAAATTCACTTTTTTAAAATATAATAATATATATATATAACAAAAAGATTTTTTATGCGTTTAATTATATTCAAATTCTCGAATATGTTAGTATTGTTCCTACTTTATTATTAAGAATGGGCTTATTAGCATAAAAGAAAGTTAAAATATATTTAAATTATTAAATAATAAAAAAAAAAGATATTTTATGTTACTAGATCATTAAGATTCTTATTAATATCAAAGGTAAAAAAAACAAAAAATACATTTAAAAAACCAATTAATGTATGTAAATAGTTAGAGCCAATTCTTTCTCGTAGAGCAAGTGATGTAACAAGAAATATGTTCAAAATTTTATTCACATTATTTTCTATAATGGTGGAAGCCAGTTCATTTTTAATGGTAGTTGAAAAATAAGGTAAAAATAAATATATAAAAAAACTTTAATTGGTAAAAAAAATATTAAAAAGGAAACTTATTTCATGATTATTTATATTTCACAGTAGTAACTATGTCCACAGTAGGATTTGGAGATATATATCCACATGAAGAATTAGGAAGAGTAATAGCTATAATAACAATTTTGATATTATTAATGTATATTCCGACTTAAATAGAAGCTTTATCAAAATCATTAAAATAAACAAGTAAATATGCAACGAATAAATTCACAAAAAAAAGCTCAGATTTAAACCATATTTTAATTTTAGGAAATACATAATTAGAAGGATATAAAGTTTTTATTAAAAAAATAAAAATATATATGTATGTATATAATAAATATCATATATATAATTAAGACTTTTTTATCAGAATTATATCATTAAGATCACGGAGTAACTGAAATACCTACAGTAATAATGAAGCCACATCATCCGAATGAGGAAATGTAGAAGATTTTATAAAAAAACCATTTATAAACTAAATTAACTTATTTATATGGAAATCCGTTAAATTCAGAAGATTTGAAACGCGCTTAAACCGAAAATTCCTAATGTGTGATAATCCTAGCAGATAAAATGACCAAAGACGCTGATGAAGAAGACAAAAGAAATATAATGTACACTTTAGCAGTGAAATAATACGTATAGAGTATGTGCTAAAATGATATAAGAGTATGTGTATAGCTTTTAAAACCGGAATTAAAGGACATCTACTTCGAATCTTTAAATCAGGGAGAAATTGACTAGGTAATTTGCGTTGATGAATTAAAGCTTTATCTATTATCAAAAACATGCCTATGCCCAGGAATAAATACTATTATAAGTTTCCTTATTACTTCAGATAAACCAGGAACGAATGTAATTGATAGAAAAGATGAAGATTCATGGATTAATGATTATATTAGAGGGATGCAGAATGAAATTTATAGAGTTCCTTTAGAACCTGATGTATTTGCAGGATATACTTTTTGCTAGATTTCACAGGCGATTTTCAAAGAGTTGGAAATTATACTTTTTGCGTTAGAAGTGAGTGTTTTAGGGGAAACCAAAGTATTTGTTAACCCGGCAGATTATCTTTTTTAAGATTATGTTCATCATGGGTATGTTATTGCGTCTTCATGTCCTAATATTAAAGAATTATAGAAAGTTAGCTTTGAAAATATTCCGAAAAGTAATATTTACGTGTATTTTATTTATTTATTTTTTAAACAAAAAAGATCATAATTATCCTAATATACCTAAAAATATGCCTGGACCGTCTAATTTAAAATCTCTTTTATAAACAGAATAAGACTCCAAATATAAAGTTTTTTTTTTTTTTTAAGAAAAAAAAAATAAATAAATATATAAATTAGGCTTTTTATTAAAATAAATAAGGATAACATACATTATAATTAAATTAAAATACAGATAAGAAATTTGAAAATCATTATATAGTATGTGGAATTGTTTCAGGAATGAAACATTTATTAATGCCTTTAAGAGCCCGTTCTTTAAAAACTATACACCCAATAATTATTTTAAATAATGATTATATGCCTTCTGAATTATGGAATCAAATAAACCACTTCCCAAAGGTATATTGTCTACAAGGTTCTCCTTTAAAATAAGAAGATTTAGAACGAGCATGTGTAGGAAAAGCTTTGGCGCTTGTGATATTATCGAAACCGCGAGAACATGTATCAAACAATTCAGGTATGGTTGATGCGGATACTATTTTTATATATAAGACAGTAAAATATATGAACCCGAAAATATAAATAATTACGGAACTGGCATCTATGGCTACTATATCATTTTTGAGTTAATCCAAAAATAATTATATTAAATAAATAGGACATATAGCGAGCGAGCCGTTTGCCTCAGGAGAAATTTATATTTCTACAATGCTTGATACTTTGATTTGTTAGGCATATTATAACCCATTTATTATAAATATTTTAGATTAAATGATTATGGGAGGAGCCACTCTTAATGCTAAAGCGAAAAGACTTTATAGTCTTTTAAGATTGTAAACAGGAAATTTATTTCTTATTAATATTCCTATATCTAAATAAGGGAAGACTTTTGGAGTACTTTATTTTTATATCTTTTTAATTTTTTTTTTTTAAAATAAAGGAATTATATGATGAACTTATTATGGAATATAAAATGATACCTATAGGATTGTATAAAGGAGCTTATGTTAATAAAAATATTAAACCATATGTTTATTTAAATCCACCTTCTGATCATATTTTAAATAGTAAAGATTAGGTTTATGTTTTATCTATTAAATAACCAAAAGAAAGTATTATTGTTTTTTTATAAGAATTTTAAATAATTTTTTGTTATTTATTTAGAAATGGCAGATTAAAAAGAAGATGATAATAAATAACTAAATAATTAATTCCCAAATATTAATTTAAAAAGTAAATTATAAGGTGAGGAAGGTAGAACAGATATTGATATTGCGAGATAATTATTTAAATTAAGTTAAGAAATTAGTAATTTAATTTAAGATGTGAATTAAATTAATGAAAAACAATTCCATAGAAATCTTTCGAAACCAGAATTAATTCCTTAGTTAAGATCTTTGTTCAAATATGAAATGTCTAACTTAAACATTCAACAAAATTTATATTGATAAAATAAATAATTTTTATTTATTTGGTGTGTTTATATTATTTTATTTTATTTTTAAAGATTTTCTGTTTCTTTATGATGTTATTATTTAAAAATTTCATGATTTTTTGATATTAATTATTAATTTAGTTACTTATTTTCATTCTTATAATTTTTTATATTTATTGAAAGTTATTAAATAATTTAATACATATATTTGTTTTCTTAATTTAAATACTTATTTAAAGATTTATTTTTATTTTTCAAGTTCTTTGTTTTCTAATTTTAAATTTTAAAGTTAGATTTGTAGTTCGCTATTTTTGAATTTAAATTCTTCAATTTCATTTAAATATAATTATATTTAATTTAATTCTTTATCATATTTTTTCTTAATTTAATTATTTTTTTATTATTCTATTTTGATACTAATATATTATTATTGCTTAATATTTGAATAATTTGGTTTTATAATATTTGAATTATTTATTTATTAATATTATTTTATTATTATTAATTTTACTATTGTTAAATTAGTTATTTTTAATTATGTTTTTTTTTATTTTATTTCTATAAATTTATTTTAATTTAATTTTTTTAGTTTTTTAGCATTTTAGTTAATTTTGTATTTTTTATACTTAGTTATATATTTCTTTTAATTCCAATTTTTGATTTGGATATTCTTAATATAGAATTTAATCTATTAAATTAACTAAAGACTAAGGAAAAAAATTAGCCCATCCCTGAATTTCTTAAAGTAAATTTTTATCATATTATGTTAATATACTTAAATATTTTAATTTAAAATGTTATATTAAGAATGAAGTTCTTTGTAATTTTTAGAATTTAAAATATTAAACCTATATAATAATGTTCTAATTATTTCCTTTGAATAAGGTATTACCTGTCAACATTTTATGTACAATACATCCCTAAGACCATATATCAACATTTTTATTATAATTTGTTTAGGTTAAAATAAGCATTTCTGGAGCCAAATAATATAGTGTAACTATTTTACTCTTTTTATATTATTTTGTTTTTATTATATTTTTTTCTTTTAATATACATGCATAATATCTTATTGTCTTCCAAATCAATAATCACCTATTTTTATAGTTAATTATCTACACAAATTTTCTTTTATAAATACATTTTAAGGTTTAAGACCTTTATGTGTTAAATTATTTTCATGTAAAACTATCAATCCAATTATTATTTATAATAAATAATTTAATACCGTTTAATTATTAAATATTTTTTATTAGGATTATTATTAATAATTATATAAATTATTATCACACATTTCCATTATTATATACAAATTTTCATATTTTTTAATCAATTTAGTTTTCAATAAAATCGTTAATTTAAATTAAGTTTTTATTTTCGAAGCTAAGTTTTTTTACTATTTAAAAATTTTCTTTATTGAAATTAATATATAGGTTTATTATATTAGTATTATTAATGTATTTTTAATTTTTTTATTGTTATTTATATTTTTTTGTATACACATTTATAAACATAGATGTTATCCGTCTAAGATTATAATTTAATTTTTGAAAAAAAAATATCTGTAATTATTTATATTTTATGATTGTTCATTTATTTTTTAAATTATTTTTATTTGTTTATTGTGTAAATTAAATTGAAAATTTTTTTTATAAATTATATAAATAAATCTTAATTTTAAAAATATTGTAATAATGCATATATGATAAAATAATTTAGTAAAATATTTTAAAAATAATAATAATAATATAAAAAAAATAAAATTGAAATATAATTAATAAATAAGAAAAATTATTATTAAAATAATATATAATAATATAAAGAATATATGAAAAAATTATAAATTATAAAAATTTAAAAAATTTATATTATATAATAAAAAAATAAAATAAAAAAAATATAGTACAAAAATAAAATTCTAAAAAATTATTAAATATAAAAAATAAATAACAAATAACAAATATTAAATTAAGTATGTAAAAATATAATAAAAAATAATATAATATTATTATATAATATTGATATATATAAAAAATTAGTATTTTATAATATATTCTAAAATAAAATAATATATAATAATATAAAAAATAATTTATAATTATATTTATATATATAATAAATATATAAAAATAAATAATATATAATATTATTTAATAATATATCTATATAATAATAATTTATTAAAATAAAATTTAATTATATCAAATAAAAATTAAATAATGTCTATATTTTTTAATAAAAAATTAAATATAATATATATATAATATAATTCTATTTTTTTAATTAGAATTAATATTTTATAATTTATAATAATTATTAATTTAAATTATAATTAAAATTATCAAATATTATATAATAATAATAATAATAATAATAATAATAATAATAATAATAATAATAATAAAAATTTATTTTATTTATAAATATAATAATATTTAATCTATTTTTAAATATAATTTTATAATAAAAATAATAATAATTAAAAATTAATAATAAATATTTAAAATAATATTATTTTATAATTTATTATTAGTTTTTATTTACATAATATAATTATTTTTATAATAATTTGTTTTTTTTTATTATTATTACCATATATTTTTAAAACTATAATAAAATTAATAATAAATTATTGTATTTTTTTATTATAAAAATATCATACATTTTTAATTTTAATAATTATATTATAATTTTATATAAACTAATTTATTTTCAATTCATAAACTGATTTAATTAATATCTTTTAAATCATTTTTTTTATTTTTATAATATTTATTTAATTTATATTAAACAAAATATATATATTCTTTAATATTATTTTTTATAACATTTTTTTTTTTTAATTTCTAAATATTTATAAAATTATTATTTTTATTTAAAACAAAAATAACTATTAACTTAATATTATTATTAATACATTATTATATTTACTTTTTTTAAATTAATAATTTTTTTTTTTTTTCATAAACCTATTATTTTTTTTATAAAATTGACATTGCATATTTAATAAACGATTAGTAAATAAAAATAATATAGAAAATTAATATTTAAAAATTATTTTTTCTTCAAATTATATATAATCTATTAAATTTAATTATTATTATTTTTTAATAATAATATTTAATGTTAATGATAATTATATAACAATCTTTTATTTCTATATTTATTTAAAAATAAATTTAATTAAATAATTTGTTATATATAATAAAAAATTAAATCGAATAAAATAAAATTATATAATATAAAATAAAATTTTAAAATATATTTCAAACATTAAAAGTATTATTTAAAAATTATAAAGAAAAATATGGCTGATATTTCATTAAATTAAAAAGTTTAAAGATATGAAACACTTCCTTCAATTTTTAATACTTAAGAAGAAGAAAGAAATAAATCAAACCCAATCGAACTGCAAACACCGAAACAGAATTTATTTTTAGATAAATTAATTCAATAGAAATTATAAAATTAATAAAAACTTAAATAAAAATCAAATACATTATAAATAGAAAAAAAGGTAAATTTTTCAGTTTAATTACCTAAATTATAGTAAGAATGTCCTCTAAAAAAAGAAAATGGAACAATATATAATAAATTCGATTAGTAATAAAACTAAGTTAGCATTACAAATGTAGAAACAAATGATGAGAATTTAGAAAATCATAAAAAATAATCAATGATGATTTAGAAATCAAGAAAATCCTTTTCAAAAGCAAAATTAAAAGGCTTTATTAGATATTTTTCCTATTTATAAAAAAATTAAGACGATTATGATATCTAAAAAAAAGCAAATCATTTTTCTATATTTTTTAAATAAATAAACTTTATAAAAATTCTTAAAAATAGTTCCACTTTTTTTAGGCAAAAAACTTTATCTAATAAGTAATATTAATTTATAAACGACCTTTCTTAATATGAAGATGATTAATAAATAAATAAATAAAAAAATTTATTAAATACTTTAACTAATTTTAATTATAAAAGAATTAGTAGTCTTCATCAATAATCAAAAAAAATGTATATTAATATTAAAGATTACATTATAAACTAACTTCCTATTATAAATCCTTAATCGAAATTCTTGTATTTTTGGGATATATTTCATTGTATTTTTATTATAATAAATCTAATTTTTTCACCTATCGAAGTCGCATCTTATACTCATTTTAGTGAATTAAGTACACATTTTGTTTGGGTTTTATATACTTATACATTACTTATAGTTTTTATAATAGATATAATTATAAATTTTAATACTGGATATTATGAAAGAGGAGTTCTTGTTAAAAATAGAAATATAATAATCAATTATTACTTAAGAAGAGGATTAATTTGGGATTTACTTTCTATTTTACCTTTAGTAGATAATCTTATGAGATTTCGAGGTATATTATTTGTTTTTCGTTCTTTAAATGCTTTTGTGCTTTGCAAATATATAACACTTCGTTATATTGTAGATAAATATATAAAACATTTTAAAACATAAAAAAATAACTTCTATCCTATTTTTTTCTAACTTCTTTAACTTGGATTATTGATTCTCTTCTTAGCCCATGTTTTTGGATGTATTTTTTTAGGATTTTCTACTGTTGGAAAAAGCTATAATCTTTATACTTGGGAAGAAAAATATTTTAAAGCTAATGATTTAGAAGTTTTAGAAGGGATTCTTGGTATTTTCTAAACATATGTTTATGCATTTTATTGGAGTATTACTACTATGACAAGTTGTGGGTATGGTGATATTATACCTGCAAATGGTTTTGAAGCTACTTATGTAGGATTTACTATGTTATTTACGTGTGGAATATTTGCTTATACTTTTAATTCTATTGGATTAATTGTAGAAGATTATAATAAAAAAAATAAATAATTATAGGATTATATGGATTAAATCAACAGATATTTATAAAATAATAATGTAAAACCTAAATTATAAATATAGGCCATTAAATATGTAGAATATAAATATAAAAGTCAAAATGATTTAAGTGTTAAAGAAGAAGAGGAAGTGTTAAATAAATTAAGTGATAATATAAGAGAAAAATTAATAATATAAAATAATATGTAATTGATTAGTAAAATTCCTATATTAAATGATAATTTCTCAAAAGCTTTTTTAAAAAAGCTATCTATTAATTTACATAAAGAAAGTATAAATGATGGAGAAATTATTTTTGAAGAAAATAATTATGATTAATAAAACTATAATAAAAATAACAAATTAAATTTTAGGAACTTTGACGATATATATTAATAAAATGATAATTAGAAAGAAAATATAAATTAGACAGATGAAATGTTTAATTAAACATAATTTTATATTATTGAAAAAGGAACTATTTAACTTTTTAAATAATCGAATAAATATCCAAATAATATTTAAATTATTTAAGAATTATAAAAAGGAAATATTTTCGGAGAATTCGAATTTTTCAAAAATTAATAGAGAAGTGTTTCTGCTAAAGCATTAGTATAATGTAATTTACTTAGTATTAGAAAGTGTACATTTGTGAAAATTATTAAATAGTTTCCTAATGATTATGAGATATTTTGTAAATTAAAAGATGAATATCTTATCAATAATTAGTAAAAAAATTTTTATACTAATTGTTATTCTTGTGATAAATAAGGACATTTAATTATGTAATGTTAAAAAGTGCATTATATTCCTAATTAAGAAACTGTTATACTTAAAAATTAATTTTGTTAAGGTTAGTTTACTCGAAAATAATATTAAAGATAAAAATAAAAAACTGAAAAATGCCTAAAAAATTTAGAAATTATATAAAAATCTTAAATTTAAATTTAAAAGCAAATAGTTTTATTTTTAATTTAAGCTAAATAAACTAAATTGAAAACCATAAATAATATAATTTATAGTAAAAATATTCTTAAGCATTTGTTAAAAGTTATTAAAAAGAAGAAAATGGGAAACTTGTTGTCAAATTAAGTAATTCTAATATTGATGAATAATAATTATAACAAAAAAACATACTAAAGAAAAGTTAAGTCGAAAATATTTTTTTTTAAAATAATAAAATTAAAAGTATAATACAAGATTAAATTTTATATGAAAAAAAATAAGAATAAGATATTTGTGATTCTTAATAAATTATATCAATTTAAAATTTATAAGAAAAATATTTATAAATATAAAATTAAAATATTAAGAGCGAATTGATTAATGTTGAATTTCCTTCTTAATATATTGATAGATTGAAAGTATTTTAATATTATTTTCCTCATAATAATATAAGTAATGTTTTATAAGAATTCATAGACTAGAATAAAATTAAATAAAAAAAAAGAAATCCTTAATATAATTTATATATTAGATACATAAAAATATGAAAATAATAATATATTATAAATATATATATATATTTTTTAATATATAATATAAATATTTATATTTTTTATATAATTAATAATATGAATATTAATTTTTATTGTAATTAAAAATAATCGATCTAGTTGATTTTTTTATTATTACAGTAAAGCATATAAATTTAATGGTATAACGTTAAGTTTATTTGTTCGAATTTATACTTGATAAAGTTATTAATGTAATTAAAAAACTATGACATAAAAAGTATTCTTATGAATTCCTATTAGATAAGGCGAGATAAATCAAATTTATATGATAAACATATATTTTTATCATCATATTAATCTCTCTAGAATAGGAAAGATATTCCCAACACATGAAGAACCAAATGTTTTTACCCAAACCCTCTTAAGTTTCAAAAAATTTGACCAATCATCGTTTTTCCAAAAAATATAAACTTATAAAAGCTAGAATATTTTATATTATAAATAAAGGAAACTGTTAGTTTTTAATAAACTCAGACCACTAATATAAATTTCCTAAGTATATAATAATCAGTTTCCTTTAAATGTACTAGATAACTATGTTACTACACTTTGGCTCACTCGCAGATGCTATAAACATAATAAAATCGCATCGACACATCGACACTATTAAATCCACGTTAGGATTAATTAAAAAGGTTAATACTCATTCCTATATAATATACTAAGAAACCTATAAATAAAAAATATTACTAGTATATAATTTCTAACTCAATATGTAGCTAGAAAACAAAATATAAATTATGAAAAACATAATAGATACTTATTATCCTTAAAAGATTTTCCGAAATAACTATAATTATTTTATAAAAAGAAGCTATTTGATGACGAAGAAATGGTTTTTAAAAATAAATTAAATCATAATAAATTATATAAATTAAAATTAAAAGATAATGAATGCCTAAATTAATTTTTTATTATGAAAAACTAATAATAAAAAATAAGATAAATTAAATATAAAAAATAAAATGAATATTTATAATTTTCTAAATAATTAGAAAACATTAAAAATTATATATAAATATCTTAAGAGTTGAAAATATGATGAATTTATGTAGAATTATATATTTTAAATTAAGAAGCTATTTTATGCTAAACCTTAAGGAGAATGTACTCTACTTTTAATAAAAGTATGCTTTATGAAAATCATTAAATATAATCCTAATAATAAATTTTATATGTTAATTATAATTATTATTTATATTTATTATTTATTTATTATTATTTAATATTTTACTTAAATCACATTATAATTTATTTATATTTTTTTTTCCTTTAATTTTTAATAGAGTATAAATAATTAATTATTTTTATATTATTTTTTTTTTTTTTTTTTAATTATTTTTTTTATAATTTTTTTTTTTTTGGATTTTGTTAAAAGTTTACATTAAACTCTAAAATTATAATATATTTATTTTTTATATAATATAAAACCTTTTTCCTTTTTTTATTTTTAATGTCATATCTATATTATTTTTTCTTATAATAGTGGTATATTGATTATATATTTTAAATTATTTTTTTATTATATTATCATATTTATTAATTTCATTTTTCATAATTATATTATAAATTATTTTTTATAAAAACATTTTTTTATTATAATAAATTTTAATGTAGGTGCTTAAAATTCTTTAATCTTAATTAAATTTATTTTATTAGTACATAAATTTCGATAGTAATAAAAAGTATATGAACCTCTAAAAATATTAGTTTGATGTACATTCTATTTTTATCTAAAAATAATATTTTTATAATATTTAGTGATTTTATATTAATTTAATCATCTTATTAATAAATAAATATATAGGAATATATTTGAACATATTTAATTTTTTTTTTTAGTATTGTTTTATTTTAATTCCAATTTTACATAAGCAAAAACACTTAAAAAATACTTATTTCCATTTTAGTTTTATTTTTTTTAATTCTTATCTTTTTTTTACATAAATCACATAAAAAAAAATCATTTTAAATCATAAAGATTATTATAAATTTAATATTTAATAAGATAAAGTAAATTTATAAAGATTATATAGATTAAAAATTACATTTATTGTAATTTATTTTTAAACGCAATTTTTTTTTTATAAAAAAAAAAAATAAAAATATATAAAAAAGATATTTTTAAACAAACCAAAAAATAATGTTATTTAAAAAATAAGTTTATAAGTGTTTATTTTCCACAAAAAACGCATTAAAATCGCCACTTTTAACACGTGATTTTATATATGATAGACTCTATAATTCATCTTCTGGTTATTTTTGTAAGGACAATATTTAAATAGGAGAACTTTAAACGCCAATAAACTTTACTGAATTAATAGGGTTTGAAGATTATTAAAAAATATTAAGCGAAAGATACCCAAAAAACGCTTGGTTGACCCCAAGTGAGATTTTCAAGCCTTATTATGGAATGTCAATAGGGAATTATATACATTAGAATTTTGATACAAAATTAAAAGAAGAAACTTAAAAATAAAAAATATAAAACCAAAGTAATCTTTTATTAAAAAGAAATAAAAAAATCCGTATTATTGAAGTTGGGGCAGGACATGCAAGTGCATGTGAATCAATTTTAAACTTTTTTAAAAATTATGAACATTTTCATTATTAAAATATGGAATATACAATAGTAGAAATTTCACCTTAAATGTGTAAAAAAGCAGCTTTAAAATTAAAATAAGACCACTAAAAATTATTAGAAAGAGGATAAATAAAAATAATTAATGAAGATTTTTTAAATTATAAAGGTATTATTATTAATTAATTTTATATATATATATATATATATAAAATATAAAGTCATTAATAAAAATGAAGAATATTATGTTATTTTTTTAGAAGTTTTAGATAATATGCCACATGATAGAGTATATGAAGGAAAATACGAGAGTTTAGTTTAATTTAGTGATTAGTTTGGGAATGAAAATTTAAAAGAAATTTAATAAGAAATTAAAGATGATTTAATAAAGGAAATTATGGAATATTATAACAGTCTTCCTGAAATTGATCACATAGAAGAAAAAAAATATTCTTATTCGTTTTTGTAAAATATCATTAATATTTATTATAGGCAGAAGAGGGAAAATGTTTTTGTACCTACATTCTTTTTGAAAACTTTAAAACATATAAAATAAAATATTCCTAATCATAAAATTATTCTTTCAGATTTTGATAGTTTAAATTAAAAAGAATAAATAGGAAAAAATGCTCCTATAGTCTCTAAAAAATTAGAGAAATCTCATGAAAAATTGGATTATGATACATATTTAGGTATTATATATACATATATATACATATATATAATATTATTGAAAATAAAAAGTAAAAAGAGGTGAAGCTGATATATTCTTTCCGACAAATTTTAGGTTTATTTAACATATGTATAAATAAATAATGGGAAAAAATGGGATGGCATTAAAAAGTTATTAGTTTATGAATTTATATAGTAGATAATAATGGACAGAAACTAAAAGTGGTTATAATCCTTTAAAAGAAGATTTTGGAAATACTTCTTTTTTTATAACTGAAAAATGAAAATTTTATGTGTTTATAAATAAATTGTTTTTATTTTATATTTTTAATATATATTACAAAAAATAAAATTAATAGATATATAAAATATATATATATATTTAATATAAATATAAAAATTAATTTTTATTTATATTTTTGTCTTTTTATATATATATATTTATTAATTATTAATTTATAAATTTTATATTAATTTTATTATTAATAATTTTTTTTATATATATAATATTAATGTAAATAATATTTTTTTACTATTAAGAAAAATTAAACATAGTTTCATATACAAAAAATAAAAAATTCAAAAGAAACCAATGAAACTTATAATTAAAGAAAATCAATTACAAAAAAAAATATATAATATTAATAATTTTATCATAAATAATAAAGTTAATTTTGTAAAGATTATATAATATATTTAAAAAAAATTATAGCAAAATTTTATATAAAATTAATATTAAAATACATTTAAAGATAAGTAAAAATATACAATACTATAAACCAAAATATTATTATTTTATTTTAAATATAATGAATATAAAACAGGATATAAATTTTAAAATAATGCAAATAAAAAATTGAGAATATTGAAATATAATTGAAATAAAAAAATAAATTAATGAAATAAAGTATATAATATAATTTTTATAAGTGTATTTTATTCATTATTATAAAGTTTATAATATAGAAATATAATTCATCTTTATATAATTTAAGAAATATAAAAAATATTTTATTTTTCTTATTTCAAAAATAAAGATAAAATGAAATAGAATAGAATAGAATAGAATAATATTTATATTTATAAATATTTTTATATATATTTATTTATATATAAACAAACTATTTAAATTATATTTAATATTTTTTTATAATAGAATAATATAAAATTAATTATTGGCTTTTTTTTTCTTTTATAAATATATAAATAAATAATATTTTTTGATTTTTATTTAATTTTTATTTAATCTAAAATATAAATTATATAAATATTTTATTTATTTTTGAAAATATTAATAATAAGTGTAATATTATATAGCAATATTTTTATTTTAAATAAATATTTATATTAAATTATTTATTTTATTTAAATAAAAAGCAAAAAGCAAAATTTATTATTTATCTTAAAATAAAATAAATATTATAAAAAAAAAAATTAAAACAAAATAAAAATGTATTAAAAAAAATATATATATATTATAATTATTAATTATCTTAAAATAATATTATAATATAAAATTAAAGGAAAAATATATAAAAATGAAAACAAATTATGATATATAAATTTATTAAAAAAAGATTTTTAATGAAAACAAACATTATAATCGTTCTAAATCTAAAACAAGAGTATCACATTAGAATTTATAAATGTAAATAAATGAACTATAAAATGCCAAAAAATCAATTGAATAGACATGCTAAATAGAAATATAAGACACTAAAAAACATTACGAACACAAGTTAATATAAGAAAAACAAAAAATAAAGGAAATAGAATTCAAATACTAATAGAAAATAAACTAAATAGAACAAGAATATAATTAAAAACTTAAATAATAATAAGAAGAATTATAAAAATAATAGCATTTAGAATAATAAAAAGTTTAATTAAATTAAAATAACATTTAATAATAAATAAATTAATTAACGCTTTAAAAGTTTAAATTTTTTTTTTTATATATTTAAAAAATAAAAAAAAGTTAAGAATTAGAAAAAAATTTAAAATCTGAGCAATAAAATGTTTTTCATTTGTAATAAAAAATAGAAGAATTAATAAATGTTCAATAGGATTTAAATGTGCATTTATAATAAAAAAGCTAATAAAATATTTAATAAGAAAGTGATAAAATGTAGACAATATAAAATAAATATTGAAACTTTGTAATATGAAAATAATATAATTTTAACAAAACATGAATAACTAAATCTATAATTTGATTAATTATAAAATCAATTAATACTATATTAATAAAATAATAATAAATTGAGGAATGAAAAATAAATTTTAGTAGAAGAAATTTAAAATTAATGTAATTAAATTAATATTTTGAAATAATAAATTATTAACTTATATGATTAATAAGAAGATAAAACATATAGATAATAAGAAAAAAAAATATATAATAATAATAATAATAATAATAATAATATATAATAATAATAATAATGATAAAAATTTTTATTATAATTATAAAATTAATAATAATAATAAAATATTTTAAAGAAATGATTCATAATCTTCTTTTTGTTCTATAACGGTTAATGAATATACTAATAAAAATATTTTAAGTGAATCTCGTCTTTTTTAGAAATAATAATAATAAAGATAATTTACTCCAGAATATAATTATTATCTTTTTTCGTAAAAAGATTATAGTGAAATCGAAACTAGAAATTAGAGTTAAACATTTCTTAAACAAGATGATAATGCTAAAAAAAACATAAATTAATATTAATAAATGTGAAAAAAATAATTATAATTTATTTTTTAATTTATTAAAAACAAAAAATTTCTTTTTATTATATATATTTATTTATTTTCTGCTTTTTTGATTTCTTTTGTTTCATAAAAATCTATCTGAATTCGTATTATTAGTATTATTTGTACTTCCTGTATAAATTTCTTTTCTATTTAAAACCGAATAATTATATTGAGCGAATAAACCTATTATTTTTATTATTATTATAAAAAAATAAACATAAGCATATTATAATAAAAACTAATAACTTACTCTATACTGAATCTTTTCTTAATAGTATAGAATTTTATTAAATTAATTCTTCATTAGATTCCAATCCATCAACCGAAATTTATTATATATATTCTTAATTATCTTAAATATCCTAATTAAAAATATTAAGATAAAATATAATCTAATATAATTTTTTGTTTGAATAAACAAAACAAAAACAAAGTACTTAAGGTAAATATGGTGCTAACATTTCTTAATTAAGTACTTTATTCCAATCTATATTTGCCAAAAAAGGATGAGATTTAATCTCTTTAGCCCCTAAAAATCCTAATCTATTAGCAGGTTTTCTTTATATTAACTTTTTTTTTTTATAAAATATAGTTTATTTTTTTTTAAAAAAAAAAAACTCTATTTATAAAATCTGCAGCTTCAAGTGACCATCCATCAGGTATTTCTTGTCTTTTAATTTACACTTATTTTGATAGAATTTATTCTTTTATTTCCTTTCTATTTCTTCCTAAATATGGTCTCTAATATTTATATATATTTTAAAAAACGGAATAAAATATTACTCTTCCTAACATTAATTCATAACAAATTACTCCTAAAGCATAATAATCTACTGCAAAAGTGTGATTTTATCTACACATTACTTCTGGGGCCATATATCCAGGTGTACCAGATGTATCTTAAAAGTTATCTTCTTTAAAAACTCTTGCAACTCCTAAATCTGTAAGTTTTAGATAACCATTAGTATCTAAAACTAAATTTTCAGGCTTTAAGTCTCTATGAATTATATTATTATTATGTAAATATTCTAATGAAAGTACAATACAAACTATAAAGAATTCTTTTTTTTAAAAAAAAATAAATAATAAAAATATTACATTTTAATATTTATTTTGTTTTTATTTTTACAAGCTTGTTTTTCTGTAAATCTATATTATATTCCTATATGATATCTGAGATCTCCTCCACTTACTAAATCCATTAATAAATATAAATTTTCTCTATCTTAAAATGCATAGTTTATATTTACAAGAAATCTATTTTTTATTTTTTTATTTAAAATAAATATTAGTATATTTGTTTATTTATTTTTTTTACGGATGATTTAAAATACTTAATAAATATCTTTCATTCATTATTGAATGAACACTTCTTTTTGTGATAATTCTATTTTATTTTATTTTAAAAAATAAATAAAATAAAAAGCTATTTTTTTATTTTTTATTATAAACTTTGATTTTGACATTTCTTTCATTGCATAAATCTACTTTGTTTTTTGTTTTCAACTTTCCAAACCTTATTTATTTTATTTTTTATTTTTTATTAAATATAAAATACTTTCCCAAAACCACCTCTTCCGATTATAAATTAATAATTATATTAATTTTTTTATAAAACATCATAAATTTAGTCTTATACTTTGTAGCTTTCTTATTGTTAAGTGTTATTTTATTAAAAAAAATTGGAAGATTTTTTCTATCTTTGTTAAACGATTGTCTCTTTTATTTATTAATATATTGAAGAGGGATTATTTTTATTAATATTTAAATAATTAAGAAATTAAGATTGTCTTTGTATATCTTAATTTTGTTACTATTCACAAACATTATTATTCTAAAATTATTTATTGTTTATAAAAATATCACTAAAACCTCTATTATGAAAAGGAACTTATTTTAATATACTTGAAGAATTTAATGGTTTTTAAAATAAATTATTTTAATAAGATTATTATTATTATTATTAATATTGATTTTAATTATTATTTTAAGAATTTAATTTCTTATTGGATATATTTATTTATAATTTTGATGACTATTTTTTTATTTTTTTTCAGAAAAAAAAAAAATCAAAAATATTGTTTTTTTATACTTTTTATTGCAGTTTTTTCAAAAAAAATAAGCTGTTTGTATTTTGTATCTTTGGTTAGGATATAAATGAAGAAATTTTTATTTATTAATTTTATTAATTTTAGAATGAGTATTTATAATTGTATAAATCTTAAAAATTTTTAATAGTTTCTTTCATTTAATTATGAGAATTCATATATATATTTATATTATATATATATTTATTATTTTTTATAATTAAGCTTTTTAAAAATATATATGAATTTTTATTTATAATATAAGATTTTTTTTTTTTCTATTTAAATATAAATACATATTCAAGCAAGTATTTTAATTTTTTTGTAATTATATTTTTAAATTATAAAATAAAAAAATATAATATTTATAGAAAAATATTAATTTTCAAATATTTAAAATAATATTTATTAATATATTATATTGAAATTATAAATAAAGAATATATTTTATATATTATTTTCTTCTATTTATATTTCTTTTATTGTATGTTTATATAAAATCGAACTTAAGTTATTTCCTATTTAAAAATAATAATAAAGCTAGAATATAAGAAAAATTAATTTTATATTTAATATAATTTAATGATATATAAAAAATAAATATTAAATAAAAAAATAAACAAATTTATTAAAAATTAATTATAAAATTATAATATAATAATTATTATTTTTTTATATAAATTAGATATATTAATTAATTATATTTTAACATAGATAATTATTATTATTTTTATTTTAATTATATTTATATATTTTAATTTTAAAAGATAAACTTATATATAAATAAAAATTTATATAATATAATCATATTTTAATATAATTATTATAAAATTTAAATATTATATTAATATTAACTATAAATGTTTAATTAATCATAAAGTAAAAAAATATATTAAAAATAACAGTTATATTATTAATATTCTCTTTTTTAATTTTTTTTTATTCTAAAAAAGTCTATTTTTCAAAAAGAATTTTAGTAAAAATAATTTATATATAATTATAAAAATCAATTTATAAGTTTATTTTTATAAAAAAAAAATATATATTCCTATAATATATATAAATATTAAATTAACTAAATAAATTATTTTTATAAAATAAAAAATATTATGATTTTAAATATTTTTAAAAATATTAATCTTTTTATTAAAACTCCTAAAGTATTTTTTACTACTAAAATAATTATAAATGAATATGATTTAGAATGGAAATTTATTAAAGGATAAGGACCTGGTGGATAAGCAGTAAATAAAACAAATAATTGTGTAGTTTTGACTCATAAGCCTTCCGGAATTACCGTAAAATCACATGAAAGTAGAAATTGTGAAACAAATAAACAATATTGTATAAAAAAAATAAAAGAGGCACTTGATAAATAAACAAATGGAAAAGAAAGCAAAAGAATGTAAAAGATAGAAAAAGTAAAAACACAGAAAAATCGCAGAAAAAGAAGGAGTGAAATAAAATATAATGGCCAACAATAAAATTCTTAAAAAAAAAATTAAGAATAAAATTAATGAAAAAAATTAAATATATATATATATATATATATATATATATATATATATATATATTTTATTGTAATATAAATATCTTTTTATAAATTAATAATATTTCTTTATTTTATATATAGAAATACTTTTATAAATATAAATATTATTAAATATATATTAATATTTTTCTATTTTAGTATTTTTTAAAATTTTTTTCTTTTTTTATAAAAAAAAATGTAAAATTAATAAACACTTTCATGGTTTTAAAAAGAAATTCAATTAAAATCAAAGACCAGAGGTTGTCATTTAATTACTGATGAAATTTTACAATAAATACCATAAATCTAATAATATTAAATAGGAATACTAAACATATTTTTAAAACATACAAGTGCGTCAATATCATTAAATGAAAATTGCGATAAAGATGTAAGATTGGATATGGAAGATTCTTTAAATAGGATTGTACCTGAAAACAATGATTTGTATAGACATACAAGCGAGGGAAAAGATGATATGCCTTCTCACATAAAATCTTAACTTATTGGAGTATATTTAAGTATTCCAATAAGCAAAGGAAAATTAAATTTAGGAACTTGGTAGGGAATTTATTTAAATGAACATAGAGATGGAAAACATTAAAGAAATTTAGTTTTAACTATAAATGGAATATGAATTTTTTTTTATTTAAGAATTTCTTTTTAAATTATTTTGAAAAATATTCTTTATTATAATAAGATTTTATTATTTTTTTAAAAGAATATGTAATATTATGAGATATAATAGCATTTTTGTAATAATTATTATTATTATTATCATTATTATCATTATTATTTTCTTTATTATTATTATTATTATTATTATTATTATTATTATTATTATTATAATTATTATTATTATAATTATTATCTTTATAATTTTTTCAATTTAATTATTATATTTAAAATATTTATGTATTTATTTAATTTATATAATAATATATATTAATCTTATTTATTTGTTAATATGTTTTTATATATCTTTTTTTTTAAATATATAAAAAAGAAATATATAAGAATTTCCTTAAAAAATTAAAAATATTTTAGTATATAAAAATAAATATTTTTTTTTATTATATATAATAATTATAATTTAATTAATAAGAAAAAAAAATGTTAAAAAAATATGAATAGTTTTAAAAAATTATTTTATTTTAATTGTAATATTTTTAAATATAATAATTATATATTATATATATTTATATATTTATATATTTATTTTTCTAATTTTTAATTATATAATTTATACCTATTTGTCTATTTTTAAAAATTATATATACATTAATAATAATATTAAAATTTTATATTAATTTTATATTTTTAATATTATTTTGAAGGAATGAAGGAATTATTTTTAAATTAAAATAAATAATTTTTCACAATATAAATTTATTTATATAATATAATTATAAATGTTCAATAATTATATATCTTTTAAATTTTTATAACATTTTTTTATTTTTAATTTATAATGTTTATATGATTTATGTAATTTTATTTAAATAAAAAATTTATCAAAAAATATAATAATGATAAATTATTAATTAGGATTGTAAATCTGAATATATTTTATAAAAAAATGTTTTATATTCCGATTTTTAATATCTATTTCTTATATATTTAAAATTAAAAACATTCTAAAAAAACCAAAAAATAACGCATTAAAATCAAATTTTTTTTTTTTTTTTAAATATTTTTTTTTTTAAACAAAATTATAGAAAAAATAAAAAGCATATAAAAACAAATATAAATATATAAATAATTTTTTTAAAATTAAAAATTAAAAAAAATTATAAATAATTATTAATGTATTTAAACAAATAAATTAAAAAAAATATTATATAATACAAAAAAATATATATTTTTGTAAAAAAAAAAATAATGAAATATCTAAAAATTTTTGTTCAAATTAAATTTTATTTTTATTTTATAAATTCAATTCCATTAGGAAAATAAGTTTAATAAGAAAGAAATTCTTCATAATTATTCTAATAAAAAATAAAATATTATTTTAATAAAAATTTAATTTTTTTATATAAATGTATTACTTATAAATTATTGCTATTTGCTGCAGGAGGAAGTTAATAAGTATACTATATATTAAAGAAATTTTATACATATGAAATAGTTTTAGATAAATCAAGTAAATGATTTTCAAAATATTTTATTAAGAACTAATTAAAATATTAATTAAAATCATTCATTTCTCTATCACATAAATAAATTTATTAAAGATACTCCCCAAAGGCTTATTATTTATAATAACTTCCAACATGTAAATATATTAAACTCGCTACAATCATATCTTAACTATATTTTAAATTACTAGAATCTAATAAAATAGTATCTAAAATTTGAGAAACTTATCTATAATATTTATAACTTTATTCATTAGGCTTTCTATAGAATATATTACTAATATTAGTAAGATCAGAAGTTAATTTTTTTTAGTTTTATTAAAGATTTAAATCCCAATAATATTAATACATAGACAACCAAGTATTAAGTGTTGGTGGATTTAATTTATAATTAAAGTCCTATTATTTTTTAAAAAAATATTTATATATATATATATATATATATA